ATTTCTGAAACCCATCTCAAAACCCATTTCTGAAGAAGGGTCCAGACCCGAAACGTCAGCTTTCCTGCTCCTCTGATGCTGATTGACCTGCTGTGTTCATCCAGCTCTACACCTTGTTATGTCAAACTTTCTCCTGATTTTTGTTTTCTTTGAATACATTGTAAATGGGACTCAATTGAATCAATGATTCTGATAGAGACGCATTAAGTAACCGCATTCCAGTAACGACTTTTAAAAAGTTAAAACAGGGTTGCTTGACTTGTAAGTGGTTTTAAACAAAATTAACATTGTGCATTCTACTAATAGAAGGGCTATCTTGGTCAGGAAGGTGTCTGTATCAGAGAAAGTGCAGTTTATGAACGATTCAGCTGCTGCTGGTTTTGGTGAGATGTATGGAGAGAGGTATGGCTACATCAGAAATATTGTTGCAACCTTTGCAGGCTAAAAGCTTTCCCACACATTATTTATATAACAAACCTTGTACTCTGGAAGGATTGGTCGTAACACAACATCCAAGCTGTCGGTTTTAGCAAAATCTGTTCAGATTACTGTGCTTGCAAGTGTTTGCTAGTGTACAAAAATTGTGTTGAAAACTTGGCAATGCTAGCAGGAGTCTTTAACAGTTCAGAAATAAATTTAAACAAAGACCAAGCATTTATGTTGTGTCTTTTGTTGCCACAGAGCGTGCAAAACGCCTAGGAGCCAATGAAATAGTTTTGAAGTGGAGTCACTGTTGGAGCTGCAGCCAGTTACTGTGTCTGGGTTGAGGGATAAACATGGGCTAGGGCACCCGGGAGAATATCCAAAACTAATGCCATAGGATCTTTTATAGCCACCTGGATAAGAGGCCAGATGGAGCCCTTGTTTACGAAAGATTGCACTAGGAGGGTCGGTCTGGATTTGGTGCTCGTGTTCCCAGAGGGGTTTTGAACCCAAGACCTTTTGATGCAAAGGGTAGGCTTACATTTTCGTCATTGAATAGATAGAATACCAGTAGATAGAAAGGATCAGTATAGGATCATAGGAACAGGAAAAGGCCATTTGGCCCATCAAGCCTGCTCCATCAGTTAATATGATCATGAATGATCAAATACCTTTGACCCAATCTATCCCCAAAAGCCTTTACACCATTTGGAATCAGAAATCTATCAGTGCCTACTTTAAATATATCCAGAGTCTGAGCTTCCACAGCTCTCTGTGGTAGAGAATTACAAAGATTCACCAAGCTTGGAGTACAAAGAATTCTCCTCATTGAAGTTCTAAAGCACCCTCCTTATTTTTAAAGTGTACCCCTTAGTTCTGGACTCTTCAGCCAGGGGAAATGTTTTACCTGCATTCACCCTGTCCTTCCCTCTAAGTATTTTGAAGGTTTCAATGAGATCAGCTCTCATTCTTTGATATGTTGCAGAATACAGGCCTACTTTGCCCAATCTCTCTTTAAAGGTCAGTCCTGCTATCGTAGGAACAAATCTGCGATCAATTTGCACTCAGTGAATGTTAGCATTCCTTTTCTCTCCACATTTCTCCCTGTTGCTGTGGCTATAGCTATGGTCACTTTAACATTGGTATTAAGAGGGCGTGCCTGACAGCCAATGCCAGACAAGTCAAAAATCTGGATGAGGATCTGCTATCTCTCAATATCAGCCTGATGTATAACTGGCATCCATGACAAAGGCTACATTTTAAAAAATTGTTGAGACTTGCTTTTGAATTTACCAAAGTCAGGCTGGTAAGAGTGGTAGAGGTAGAAACCCTTATAACATTTAAAAAGTATTTAGATGCGCATTTGTGATGCCAAAGCATACAAAGGGCCAAGTGCTGGAAATGGGAGTTGAATAGTTAGGTGGTTGTTTTTTGATTGGCATGGACATGATGGGCTGAAGGGCCTTTTTCTGTACTGTGGGGCTCGATGATTCTATGACTGTGAGCAAATGCAATGTAGGCATTGTTAACACTAGGCTCTGGCAAATCAGGCACAGTTCACTTAAAAGCAGAGTTATGGACCCTCTGTGTGATCTCATAAACATCGACTTCATGTCAGATGTTCACCCTGTACAGGAAAAGTTTCTATTTCCCACTTCAGCCCTCAGCAGGGCTGGAAGTTGAGGAGGTGGTGCTAAATTATGATCCTGTGCTCACTCACACATGGCACCCACAAAAGGTTTAAATCCCAAGGGCCGCAGTCACATGCCATTCATTCAGGTCAAAGGAGATACTTAGAAAAGTTTAGAAACCTCTATGGGACTTTGCATTTTATTCTTATCATTAACATCACAGTGAAAAATGAAAGCACAAGATGCAACACTGAAAATCAGGAACTAACTTTCATAGCGTGACCCTGTCAGCAGTTCTGCTGAAATTGTTATTGGTAAAATTTATTTTTTAAAAATTTACTTTACTTTGAATAAAGGTGTCTCCCGATGCAACAGACAGAGTACCATGCTATCATTCAGCATTCTGAGTATCCATCAGAATGGTTGCATTTCTCAGCATTCTCTGCGTAAGGGGATCTGACGGCCTAGTGATATTATTGCTTGACTATTTATTCAGAGATTCCTGGTAATCTTCTGGGGAGTCGGGTTTGAATTCTGCCATGACAGATGGTAGAATTCTATTCCAATAAAAGCTCTGGAATTAAGACTCTAACAATGACCATGAAACCTTTGTCGATTGTCAGAATAATCCATCTGGTTCACTAATGCCCTTTAGGGAAGGAAACAGCCATCCTGACCTGGTCTGGCCTACAGACCCACAGCAATGTGGTAGACACTTCTGGACAGTTAGAGCTGGCTAATAAATGCTGGCCTGGCCAGTGACACCTGCATCCCATGAATGAGTTTAAAAAAAATTGATCTTAGCCTTGGATTCTCCAGCATTGAACTTGGAATTAATGCCAAATTGATGATAGTAATTGTAGCAGGGGCTACAAAGGCTGAATGTTGAGTGGTTTTGTAGCTTTCTTTTATGTCCAGACTCTGTGACTGTTAGCCATCAGACTGTGCGGTCGTCCCAGCAGAGACCATCACACTGTGCGGTCCTCCCAGCAGAGATCATCACACTGTGCGGTCCTCCCAGCAGAGACCATCACACTGTGCTCCTTCCAGTACGTATCAACAATCACATTGTGGTCCTACCAGCAGAGTCCAATTCATTGTGGTCCGCAGCAGAAAACCTGGCTCATTTACTCTTCCCTAAAACAGAAATAGTGAGAATTATTCTGGTACTCTTATTGTCACCTTGCCGGAGGTCAGACACTTCACAGCAAACTAAAGGTGGAGTCAGGCATTGTAAACAAAGACAAGATTTTCAAAACCAAGTTGTGGTTAAACTAGGGAAGACAATGGCCTAGTGGTATTATTAGTGGACTATTAATCCAGAGACCCAGATAATGTTCTGGGGACTCGGGTTCAAATCCCACCACAGCAGTTGGTAGAATTTGAATTCACTTAAAAAATATCTGAATTAAGAGCCTAATGATAACAATGGATCCTTTGCTGATCGTCAGAAAATCCCAGTTGATTAAGTAATGTCCTTTAGGGAAGGAAATCAACATCCTTACCCAGCCTGCCCTACATGTGACTCCAGACCCACAGCAATGCGGTTGACTCTTAACTGCCCTCTAGGCAATTAGGGATGGGTCATAAATTCTGCCTAGCCAGCAACGCCCTCATCACATGAATGAATAAAGAAAACAAAGTGTAAGGCAGCAAACACAAGGCTGCTAAATACATGGGTCATGGAACAAGATAGTACGGAAGCAGCAAAATTGTGAAAAATCTACTTCTACAGAGGGTAGAATATGGGGGGAAAACCAGGAATGTGTTAAAATAGTATTGAAGTAACAAAGGCAGGAATGAGAGTTTCAGTTCCAGATGAGCTGAGGCAGGTGAGGAGTTGGATAATGTTATGGAGGTGGAAGTGGACAATCTTAGCAGTGGCATCAATATGTGATATGAAGCTAGTCTCAAGGTCAAATATGACTCTAAATTTGCGAACAGCCTGGTTCAGCCTTGGCATGTTGCCAAGAAAAGGATACATTTGGTTGCCTGGTAATGGAGTTTGTATCAAGGACTAAGACAGTCACTTCAAACTTCCCAGTATTTGGTCAGAGGAGATTTATGCAGCAGGCAGTTTGACACTTGAACAGGAGAGGACTCGAAAGAGAATGAGTGAGAAGTGGTGGTGACGGCATCTCAAAGTACAGGTATAAATGGATCGTTTTGGGTGATGTTACAGAGGGATAGTGTGTAGATGAGAAATTGGAGGGATTCCAGGATATGGTTTCCAGAGGCTACAGTGCTGGATTGGGAAGAGAAGCCTGACTATGAGTGGATAGATAAGGCTCGAACTGGACTGGCACAATCCCACTCTGTAACTGGTCAGAGAGATGTTGGAGGTGAAGGTTATGGTCAGCCATGTCAAAGACAGGATTTAGTTTCCTTCCGCCACATTCCATAACACCTACAGTGTGAAAGCAGGCCATTCAGCTCATCGGGTCTACACTGGCCCTCCAAAGAGCATCGCCCCAAACCCACCCTGCTACCCTATCCCTGTAACCGTGCATTTAGCATGGCCAATCCACCTAACCAGCATATCTTCAGATTGTGAGAGGAAACCAAAGCACCCGAAGAAAACCACACAGACATGGGGAGAATGTGCAAACTCCACACAGACTGTCACCCGAGGCTGGAATCGAACCTGGGTCCCTGGCACTGTGAGGCAGCAGTGATAACCACTGAGCCACCATGCCACCCTCAGATTGCTAGTATTCACCGAATCTAGTTGATGGATCTCACATTAGAATGGGATGGGGCTCTGTTATGATACCCCTTACTCCCAATTGAGGAAATTCCCACCATTTCCATTTAAGGCATGGACGAGCTGCATATACCTCCTTGAAGGAATGTAGCCTAATTTTCTTCTTAGAAATATTGAATCAGGCTGAAAAATGAAAGTTTTTTTCTCATGAAGTTAATAATAATGGTTAATTTCTCTTCAAGGAAAAGAGGCCAGATCTGAAGTTACAATTCTCTATGGAGAGGACGCAAACGAGTGGAGTGTTTACCTGGAAAGTTTGCTCACAGCAGCCTTTAAAGTTCTGCCATACACAGTAAGCGAGCACACCTTGTTTTCAAGCCAGGATTACAGCCAGTTTAGGAGATGTAAGTGTCTCTTGGTTCTACTGTCGCCGCAGCTTGTGGAACTGTTGGCACTGCCCAAGCTGGAGCAGGGACTGCAGAGGGCACTACACCCCGGACACAAAGTGGTCCTGCTATTTTGTGGAGTGACAGAAACTACAGAACTACAGAACTTGTTCAAAGACTGGCAGAAGTGGAAACAAGTATCATGTGACGATGAGCCAACTGTTTTCATCTCAGTTGTGGAAGAAGCCATCAATAAGGGTAAGTTTCAAACCTGAAATTGGCCGGTCTCTTATTACAGGAGCAACATTTACAATGAAGTTGCTTTACCCTTTGTGATACTCCACCGAACAGAATCTTAAATTTTGTATGAGTACAATCAGCATGGAATTAGCAACAGCTATGTTAACTTTTTTGCATTTTGCCCAGACCTATTTAGAATTGTTAAAAAAATGTATTATATCATGTAGAGACAACACAATATGGAGCTGGATGAACACAGCAGGCCAAGCAGCATCAGAGGAGCAGGAAAGTTGACATTTCGGGTTGGGACCCTTCTTCAGAAATGGGGAGGGGGAAGGGAGCTGGCAAATAGAGAGAGGACGGGTTGGGCTCGAGAAAGGTAGGCGGGATGGTGATAGGTAGATGAAGGTAGGGAGTGGTGGGGAGTGGTCAGTGGGATGGGTGGGGCAGATAGGTGGGTGAGAAGATGGACAAGTTGTGTCAGGTCAAGGAGGCGGGGATGAGAGGGAAGGTTGGACATGGGATGAGGCCGGGGGTGGAGAGATTTTAAAACTGGTAAAGTCAATGTTTAGGCCATTGGGTTGTAGGCGCCTGAGGCAGAATATGAGGTGTTGCTCCTCCAGTTTGCTGGTGGTGTCATTGTGACACTGGAGGAGGCCCAGGATGGACATGTCACCCAGGGAGTGGGAGGGGGAGTTAAAATGGCTGGAGACCGGAAGGTGTTGTCGTTTGTAATAGCCCTTGAACTGAGGTGCTTGCTCAGCCCTTTCAGAAGGCAGTTAAGAGTCAATCACAATGCCATGGGTCTGGAGTCACATGTAGGCCACACCAGCTAAGGATGGCAGGTTACAACCCCTAAAGGACATTACTGAACCAGATGAGTTTTATGACAATCAATGATTGTTTCATGGTCGCCATCACTGAGAATAGCTCTCTATTCTGAATTTTATTAATCCAATTTAAATTCTGCCAGCTGCATTAGCCTGTCAGTCTGGACTATCAACCCAGTGACATTACCACTATACCACCATCTCTGCAGATCTCCAGGGACTGGAATACAATGGGATAAGAGTTTGTTCATACTGTACAAAGCTGTGGTTAGTCTACAGTTGTTGCACTATGTTCAGTTCTGGGCATCAAATCTTGAGAAGGACAAAAAGCGCTTGGTGTGAGTGCAGGATGGACATTACCAAACAAAAACCTGAATTTGAATGGTTAGATTTTGAGGGGTGATTACACAATTGGAGTTTTACTTCCCTGCCTTGAGATATTGAAGGAGTTATTCAAAATTTGCAAGTTATTATGGGAGCAAATAAGTGGGTATCTAGGAAGAAATATTTCTGCTGGTTATGGAGTCGAAAAAAAAAACTAGACCCTGTAGAACATTCAGAAGTGAAATTAGCAAATTTTTCTGCAGGTAAAGGGTGGGAGATGTTTAGAATTCTCTTCTGCAAATGGCAACTGATGTTACATCAATTCTTCATCTTAAGTCGATGACCTAAAGGTACTAAGGTATTAAAAAATCCTGTGTTTATCCCATGTCAGGGCCTCTCAAAGCACTTTACAGACGATGAGGTACTTTGGAAATGTAGTCACTGTAGTAATGGAATAAACAAGGCAGCCACTGTGTACACAGTAAGCTCCCACAATGTGATAACGATGTGTTTTTTTATGGTGTTGATTTAGTGTAATGGTGGCTGTATGGACTTAGGTCACGGATCAGCCATGATCATGTTGAATGCTGGCACATGATCTTGAGGCCGAATGGCCTAAATCTACTCCTGTAGTCCGAGATCCTTCCAAGAAACACGTGCGACTGAGAGTACAAACTGAGATTGATGTACTATTGGGATTAGGCAAGGGATAAAGGGTTACAGAACCAAGGAGGGTAAATGAAGTCAAGGTGCAGATCAGCCATGATATAAGTTGGTGGAAGAACAAACTCAAGGGGCTGTATGATCTATCCTGTTTCTGGCTTTCTCTGTAAAACAAGTAGTAATTTTCCAAAAAAGGGCTGTTGTGGTGGAGACTAGAACACTTTCTTTTTAAAACAAAAATTGCATAAATATTTGAGGTGGAAAAGTAGAGGCGGATTATGGAGTAAGGGCAGAGACATGGGACTTTGAGTAGATCACTCCAGTTAGCAAGGCACAGGCTGAAAAAAATCACTAGGTGAAATCAACATAATTTATTCAAAATCAAGATGTTTAATTGTTGCCAACGGTGTAGTTTATTCACACACAGAATGCTATTAAATTTGCTGTAGAGCAGATCTGGGAGCTCAGGTGCTGAAATTCTTAAGTTCGTTGGATAAGAATTCAGCCTCTGTAACTTGTCTGCTCTTTTCTCTTAGAGCACAGCTCAGAGCTTGATATTGATTCACATTTACATTTTGTCACTTACCAGCTCCTATCCCTATCTTTTGTATTGCTCCCACTCCTCAGTAGATATGACTGGCTTTGGTTATTTGAATTTCCTGGATCTGGTTGATTGGAAAGGTCTTCTTGCAGTACTGCTGTCTTGTTGGTGGTCAGGTCAGAGGCTGGGAATTTTGAAGCAAGTAACTTACCCCCTGACTCCCCACAGCCTGTCCACCATCAACAAAGGCAGCAAGTCAGGAGCGTGTTGGGATACTCCCCACTTGCCTGGATGGTTGCAGCTCCAACAACGTTCAAGAAGCTTGACACTACCGACGCTCAGTAGCAGCAGTGTGTACTGTCTACAAGATGCACTGCAGAAATTCACTAACATGCTTCAGACAGGAGTTTCCAAACCCATGGATAAAGACAAGGGCAGCAGATACATGGGAACACCAACACTTCCAAGTTCCCCTCCAAGCCAATCGCCATCCTGACTTGGAAATATATCATCGCTCCTTTAGTATCTTTGGGTCAAAATCCTGGAACTCCTCCCTAATGACATTGGGGGTTTATCCATACCCCAAGGACTACGGTGGTTCTTGAAAGCAGCTCACCTTCACCAAGTTGCGATTTGAAATGGCCAACAAATGCTGGACTAGCCAGCTTTGCCCACTCCCAGTGAAAGAATTTCTTTGAAATCCTGAGTAAATCACAAGGAAGCTAACGTTTGCAAACTGCCAGACTTGCGCAGCCCAGACCTGTGAACTCAGCTGTATATGAACAAAGCACAAATAGGAAGTGAGTTGCTGATACTTCATGGTCCATTTAACCAGGATCACTTGCTGTGAATGTCCCAACTACACTTAACACACCCCAAATGTGGGCTGCTCCCATTGCAATTTTAATGGAGCTTTAATGCTCTGAGACAACCAGATGCAGATCGTTGATCTAGTGTTAAACATAGAAAATAGGAGCATTCCGCCCTTTGAGCCTGCTCTGTCATTTAATCTGATCATGGCTGATTATCTAAGTCAGTCCCCTCTTCTTACTTCCTCCCCTTACCCATTGATCCCTTTAACCCTAAGAACTACATCTAACTCCTTGAAAGCATTCAATGTTTTGGTCTCAACCTCTCTTCTGTATTTTGTGACCTAATCTATGTGCTCAAGCATTTCTAAGACTGGTCTATTATTTGTGATTGTGATTGGACACAAAATGTTTGTGGATTGCCAAGGTTTATCACAACATCCTGGAGAGTTGCTGCTGACAGATGCTGGTTCAGAGCAGAGGCCTTCTCCTGTGTTGTAAATTTGGAAAAAATTCCAGGACCTTGGAGAGGGCACTGTTTTCCAGAACAATGCCAGGAATGAGAGTCCGAGACAACAAGGTGCAGAGCTGGATGAACACAGCAGGCCAAGCAGCATCATAGGAGCAGAAAGGCTGACGTTTCGGGCCGAGACCCTTCATCAGAATGAGAGTCTTCAGTTACACAGGGAGACTGGAGAAGCTGGTGTTGTTTTCATTAAGATTAATGGGAAATTGAATAGAAGTCTTCAAAATTATCAAGGATTTTGATAAAATGAAACAAATTCAACAACTTGCATTTATTTAACTCCTTTAATGTAATAAATGTTCCAAAGTGATTCACTGGAGCATTGTCAGATAAAATTAGTCATCAAGCCACATAAGAAAATATCAGGGAAGATAAACAAAAAACTCGCTCAAAGCAGTAGATCTGTAGGAGTGACTTTAAAGAGGAAAGTGTGAGGCAGAGGGGTTTAGAGAGTGTATTCCAGAGGTTCAGTCTTCTGCAGTTGAAGGCACGGACTCTAATAGTGGAGTGACAATAACTGAGATAGTTCGAGAGGTCAGCATTATAGAAGGGCAGGCATTCCAGGAGATTGGGGAACTGGAGGAGGTTAGAGATGTGACGAGGGAGCTGGCAGTGGAGAAGCCATGAGGGGTGAGATTTGAAAACAAGGATGAGAATTTTAACACCAATGAATGCTTAACCAGGTATCAGTGTAGGTTGATGAGCACAGGGGGTGATGGTATGAAATTGGGAAATGGACAGCTGAGCCGTGACTCAGTTTATGGAGCGATGACAGGTGGGAGTGTGTTAACATTGTCAAACCTAAAGGTAACCAAAAAAGTATGTTTCAGCAACAGATGAACTGAGGCAGGGCAGGGTCAGGTGACATGGGGAAAAACCTATCTGGTTCACTTGCAAGGTCTGGTGCCCTTTAGGTAAGGAAGCAGCCATCCTTACCAGGTCTGGCCTACATGAGGCTCTAGGCCCACAGCAAATTGGTTAATTCTTAACTGTTCTTGGGCACTTAGGGATAGGCAATAAATGCTGGCCCTGCCAGCGACACCCTCATCCTGTGCTTGCGCTGATCTGATACTCCATGTTTCTCCCCAGCCCAGATTGTTAGTTATCTATGGGGAAGGAGGGGACAGTACAGTCATCTTGGGGTTGTAACCCCTCTGCTAGCTGGTTATTGGGTCACAGTCTGTAAACCTGCTCCTTCTCCAGGTGGATGGATGAAGATAAAAAGGAATCCCTGTGTGAACCAGGGGATTGGTAGTGGAATAGGGAAAGGGAAAGTAAAAACAGAAAACCTGCTGGAGAAACTCAGCTGGTCTGGCAGCATCTGT